CCAACACTTTACATAACATCATTATATAAATTTATGCTTTGTATAAAATAGGATTATGACAAAAATTAATTTTAAAAGTACTACTAGTAACTAGGGTTGTAAACGAGCCGAGCTTGAGCAAGCTCATGCTGGGCTCGTTTTCGGCTTGTTCGAAACTGCTCGTGTTTGACTCGAAATTAACTCCTTAAAATTAAATGGAAAAAAAAAAAGATATAAAGTGTTTGATTTGAATCCGGACCAAATGTATGCAAAAGAAAGCACTAACCACATTACCACACGTGGTGTTACAATTTAAACTTAGATATAAACATATATAATATATTATTATAAAAATAATTATATAATTTATTTATTTATTTTTATTTTGAGCTAAAATGAGCCGTACACGAGCGAACAAAGAGTTGTTCGCGTTCGGCTCGTTTACAATTCGAGCTTTAAAAAATTGTTTGTGTTCGGCTCGTTCACTTAACGAAGGAGCCGAACACGAGCTACTTAATGAGTCGAATAATATTTGTTCGTGAACAACGAGCTTTTTTTACATCCCTATTAGTAATTAATTATAGTTTATTTATATTTACTATTAAAAATATATGGGAGGATAGGGGAAAAATTGTGTCTAGTTGGTACAATTTGATCTCATTTTGAAAAAATTAAATAATATGTTGCGTTAAATAAATAGTTGTGAAATTAATCTGATTTAAAAATTTGTCCCTTATATACAACAAAATTAAACAAATGTATTTTAAATAGTCAAAAATATCTGATTAGTTACAAAAATATTTGATTAGTTGAAAAATAATGCTAAATTTCTATTGCTTTATATTTTTAAACATATAGTTTTTTTTTTTTTATAAATATATTCTCTTATACTTTTTAAAATAAATTTATGGTATGATGGTGAGAACACATGTCACAATCTCATCATTTTAAGGTTACAATAATTAATTAGTAATTTGATATCTATTTTAATTTTTGTAATATTCATTAAACATAGAATTATTTCTAAATTTATAAATATATCAAAATTCATTCTTTATATCATTAAACCAAAACCGGCAACAACAACAAGCCTTTATCTCACTAAGTGGGATTGGCTACATGAATCCTTTTTCTCTTGTCTCCTATAGAGTGTCATATTTTTGTTTAAATCTAATAAATTAAGATCATTTTATATATAATATGCCCAAGTCTTTCTAGGCCTTCCACTACATTTCTTATTATAAATCGAATCTAAAATATATACTCTCATAACCGGATCATCAGATGGTCAATGTTTAATGTGATCAAACCATGTAAGACGACCGATCTCTCTAATCTTGTCCGCAGCTGAGTTACACCAACCCTATCGCGGATATATTCATTTCGCATTTTTTTCTCTAAGTGTAAGGCCATTCATTCACCTAAACATTCTCATCTCACCAACACTTAACTTAGTTTTATGTTTATCTTTTAAAGGCCAACATTTTGTGCCATAGAGCATTGCAGGTATCACTGCCATCTTATAAAATTTCCCTTTCTGTCTAAGTAGTACTTTTATATCACATAATGAGACTGAAGCATTCTCCACTTCAACAAACCAACTTGAATTCTACTAATAACATCACCATCTATAAAACCAACACTTTGAACAATATACCCAATATATCTAAAGCGTTCACACTTATTAAAAATTTGATCACCCATAATTACAACTATGTCACTAGAGCTACTAGTACTAAAATTACATTCTATATATTCAGTTTTAGTTCTACAAAAACAAAGGCATTGAGGCTCCAACGTATACCTCCATAATTCAAGTTTTTCCCGAGCTCTTTTTCTAGTATTATCCACAAGAAGGATATTATTAGCAAAAAAAGCATACACCAAGGTACATCCTTCAGTCAATGTCCTGTAAGAGCATCCATAACTAAAGCAAAAAGATATGGGTCAATCCCTAATGTAATCCAACTAAAATAGGACAGTATTTGGTTAATCCTCCTTCTGTTTGAACACGAGGAATAGCTCTAATATACATATCTTTAATGACTTGAATATAAGTCATGTCAACTTCTTTATTTCTCTAAAATGCTCCTAAGGATATCAACTGAAAGCTTATTGTATGCTTTTTCTAAAGCAATAAAAATCATATGTGATCCTTCCCATTCTTTTGTACTTCTCCATCCAACCTTTTAATAAATGTATATCATTCATAATAGATCTGTCCGACATAAATCCAAATTAATTATAAAAAATCATTGTAATACATTTTAACCTATGTTGAGTTGCTCTCTCCCATAACTCAATTCCTTTATAATTTGCACACTCTTGTGCATCCTCTTTATTCTTAAAAATGAGGACCAAAATACTTTTCCTCCGCTTTTGAGACATCTTTTTAGTTTTTAAGATAATATTAAAGAGTTTAGTAAGCCAATAAACTCTCAAATCTCTTAGATATTTTCATACTTCAATTGGGATATCATCAGGTCCTACAAACTTTACACTCTTAGTTTTCTTTAAATTATCCTCAACCTCTTTTTTTTTATTAATACGATGGTAAAAATGGAACATTTTATTATTATTAACGATAATAAGACCGATTGTATCCGATTGTATTTTTAGAAAGTTCATTGAAAAGTTTATCAAAATAACACGCCCACCTATGTGAGTTAAACTGTGCAACGAAGATAGAATATTACCACGTGCTTAGTGTATTCATGCCACATAGCAATGTATTAATATAGACTTGTACGAAGATCCAATACACATATGGATAAATAAATTTTTTAATCTAGAACGCCGGAGTATTTTATATGAAAAACTTAGAAGCAAAAAAAAAAGAGGGCATTGACATACTTACCCCACAATTACTATTAATTTATATATCCAACACCAAAATCACTTTTTTTTACATTTATACCACCCAAAAAAAAATTTTCACATAACAATGCTCCCATTTTAATTTTTAAAAAGTGAAATCTTCCATTCAATGCATTAATAAGCTGGCATGTATGTAATTTAGATGTTAGGTATATAAATACATAGGAATTGAGTGGTATGTATGTAAATCTTCCAGATAAAACTATACGGTCTGATCCTCACTAATATATCTCAAACGCTACAAGTAATTCTCTTCCCTATAATTGGGGAAGGCTCTTGTAATGCAGTTGACGTGAATTATGCAGAATGAATTTTATGATAACAGATGGAGGATACTTGAAATATTGGATTTGTCATCATGAGTAAATTGTATGTTATATTGTTTTGATGTTGATGATATGATGATAATGAACAATTGTTTATATTGATCATGTTCCTGGTATTAATGGGCAACAAATATAGAGGGCCTCGGCATCAACCCTTTTAAATGATGGCATGCATCGATAATATGGATGACGACATGCGATAATGACGGTAGAGATCAGCAATTGTATTAATGTCATTCATCAACTTTCTAGGTGATAACATGCATTGACATTAATAGAGATAATGAGCAATGAGATATGCACTCATATGAATTGGTGTGGATGGTATGTATCAAATTTATAAGTTGAGGAGTCAATTTGAATTTATCAGTTGGGCTAGAGTCTGGCCTAAAATTACCCTAATATTGATCCGACTGGAAACTACTTCACCTATACTCAGGCTCAAATTTTAAAAGAGTTGGAAAGCTTAATAAAACTTGACATGTTTTCAGCTCGACAGACTCAATACATGACCAATGTAACCCATTTAACGTATATATGATTGCTATTATGGTTAATTTCAGGTCAACTTTGAGCCAAAATTTGGTCAATTGTGAGTTGGTGGATAGAAATCAGAGCAATTTTTGGTAGCGAGTTAATCCAAAGCCAAGAAAATAATTAGATAACTGAATGTGATGGAATAGAGCGCTACAAAGCAATTGCCACTGGGAGTTATCATCGAGTATTTAATAAACTATGTTCAAGGTGTGTCGTTGCACATTATTTGATATATTTGTTAGTTAACAGAGAACTTAGTTATTTAGCAGAATACTTAGTACTCAAGAGAATACTTCATCACTTAACATGATACTTAATTAAATAATAGAGTACCTCGTTACTCAAAAGAGTCTTTTGTTACTCAACATGTTACTTCATTGCTCAATAAAGTCAACCAAGTACTGGAATTAGGCTCATGCTCCTCTTCTTCTCCCACATCCTTAAGTGGAGATGAGGTCTATTTATAGACCCTTGAAGAGAAGCATTTTTATTTTTTAGCAAATAACCGCCCAATCTAGCTACCCACATTGATTCGCCATGATCATAAAATATTTTTTTGATGATTTAAGAACTTTAATGACCTCATAATATTTGGTTTGTTGGATTCTTCTCATCAAGAAGCTCGATTTGATTATCGACACATCAAATTTGGAATTCATTTGACCCCTAAATAAACCAACCAACTTACTCAGATCGGATCAATTTTTGTATCACAGGGTTATTCTCCATGAGTTGGTCACTTTAGCTATAAATTTACTGAAGTCAAAGATCTAGATGATTTTAATTTGAATCAAATCACTTCTTGCAAAAAATATACCTCGAGATCTGTATGAAATGCCTCAGGGTTCGTGCCAAATGATAAAATTCGTTGATTATGCATTAGTAAATATTGCATGAATCCAAAAAACTTGCATTGATCAAAAGATAATTTACGAGTGTTTGAGTGCCTTACTGATGCCAGAATTAAGTGACATTAAGATTTAGATTCATCTCATCATGAAGCTCAATTTGACTAAATTTGTCAGATTTGAAGACCATTTAATCGCCCAAAATAAATTTCAAAGTTTCTTATTATGTTTTAAGTTCATGATCTGATTTCACGATATGATTTCACTTGGACTTGAATCGGATCATGTTTGATGTCATCTGATTCGTCTTACTCAGATACAACATTTGAATTGGAGTATAGGTATTAAGCTCTCAATTCCAAACGTGCATCGAGATTCCTGCTTGATTAAGATAATTTTTAAAGAGGTATCAATTATTTTTCTTTTTTTTTAATTCACTTTCAAAAATTGATGCTTTTGAGACTAGCACTTGGATACATATAATTCACCAATAATCACCACAAGAACAAACCCCCTGCTTAAAATGATGAAAACGGCTAGTATCCCTGACAACAATCTCCCTGCCCACAATCTTGGACATCACCTTGATCGCCTCATGGCAATCAACACACGCCCGCAAATTCTTCATAACCCTAACCGTCGATCCCGCCGGCGTGCTGATCAACGCGTACCCTATCGCCAACCTCTCACTGTGCCGCTTCAAAGCCTCCGCCTTCCTCCCTTCCTCGCCGACGTTCCTCAACGAGCAGCTCGTTTCAGCTCTGTACCCTTCTTTCTCCATCTCCACTTCCAATTCCTCCAGCTTCGCCCTGATTTCCCTAATCCTCGGATTCCTCTCATCGTCTGATGAGAAAACATGGATCTTCTCCTTAATCTCAACCCAGCTACATCCTCTCTCCTTCTTCACTCCTCGCTCCCTCATCATCTTCTTCACGCCGGCAGCTTCGTTCCATCGCCCGGACTGAGAGTAGATGTTCGACATGATTATGTAAGGTGCGGCATCGCTGAGCTCCATGGCGAACAACTTCTCCGCAGCTTTTGCCGCCAGCTCCTCGTTTCGGTGTTTCCGGCAGGAATTCAGAACAGAATTCCATATGATTTCGTCGGCGTCGAAAGGCATCTGATTGAGCAAACTCTCCAATTCATCAAACCTGCCCACTCGACCCAACAGATCCACTGCGCAGGCGTAATGGTCTTTTCTGGGTTCTTCCATGGCGCGGAAGTATTGAAGCCCTTGTTCAACGAAGCCATTGTGGCTGCAAGCAGAGAGGATGCTGAGGTAAGTCACTGAATCCGGCTTGATTCCTTGGCGAAGCATTTCATCAAACACCTTCATTGCCTCTTCGGCGCTTCCATTTTGGCCATAAGCGGTGATCATGGCGTTCCAGGTCACGATGTTTTGAACGGGCATTTCGTTCAATGCTTGATGCGTATCGTCCAGACAGCCGCATTTTGCGTACATGTCCAGCAAGGCGCTGCCGACGAATACGTTTGATGAAATGCCTAGCTGAATAGCTGATGAGTGAATCTGCTTCCCAAGAACAAGAAGAGCTAGGGTTGCAGTAGCGCTGAGGATGGACGAGAAGGTGGCTCGATCGGGACTAATTCCAGCTTTTCTCATAGAAGAGAAGAATCTCAGTGCTTCTTCATCCAACCCATTGTGTATGTACCCTGTGATGATCGCCGTCCATGAAACGGTGTTCTTCTCTGATTTGGATAAAAATACCAACTTTCCCTTCTCCATCTCCCCGCATTTGAAGTACATATCGATGAGGGCGTTAGTGACCATATCATCAGATTCAGCGCCGGCAAGAATGATCTGAGCATGAATCCGTCGGCCGGTTTCGAGATCTGGAAGAGATCCGGCAACGCTGAGCAGGCTGGGGAAAGGGAAGAGCTTTCGATCTAAATCCGTTTGCTGGAGTTCTTGAAAGAGTTGGGAAAGCTCTTCAACCAGTCCGCTCCAAGCGTAGCATGAGATCATCACATTGTAGGAGATATTATCTCTGTCCGACATTTCATCAAACAGATATCTGGCTTCGTCAATCTGATAGCTTTTAGAGTAGAAATCGAGCAACGAGTTTATCACAAACACATTCCATTGGAAATTTGTTCTTACTACGAGTCCATGAGTCTGGAGTCCAAGGCCTATATCATCAAGCCCGGAGGCGGCGACGAGAACACCGGAAAAGGTGAATTGAGAAGGTTTCAATCCCGACTCCCTCATTTTTTCAAAGAGCTCAAGCGCAGAATCATGGAATCCATCCTTGGCAAAGCCATTCATCATGGCGTTGTAAGTCACTGAATCCTTTTCAGGCGATTGTTCAAACATCTTATTGGCAGATCCCACCAGCCCAGATTTACAGTACGAATCCACCAAAGTGTTCAACACCTGAACAGAATCATCAAATCCAAATTTCAAAACATGCCCATGAATCTGTACAACAGATCCCGCCATGTTCCGATCCTGGCATGAACTAAGCAATGCAATGATCGTGACCCGATCCGGCATGATGCCAGAGCTCGACATCTCGCGGAAGAGCTCGAAGGCCTCATGGACGCGACTCGAGCTTGAATAGGCGCCGATCATGATGGTCCATGTGACGGCGGTGCGGTTGGCGGTGCCATTGAAGAGTTTCCGGGCCTCATCGAGGTGGCCGGACTTGGCATAGCCTGAGATCATGCGGTTGGAGGTGAAGGTGTTCCGGTGGGGCATTTGATCGAATACCTTGCGTGCGGCGGGTAAGTTTCCCCTGTGGAGGAGGGATTCGATGAGCTGATTGGCGTGGAAGATTTCGATGTGGAAGCATGTTTTGATGGCATCGGCGTCTATGAGTTTGGGGGAAGGGATTTGGGAGGAGAGAGTTGTTAGGGCGCGAAGATTTTGGGAGATTTTGGATTTGAAAAGTTTAAATATCATGGGGAACACCTTCGTGTTATTTGTGTAATAATATTTATGCTATAAAGTTTTGGAAGAAAAACAAACAAAAAAAGGTCTTTTTTACGTGCCTTCAGAAACAGCCACCCGGTGACGGATCGCTAGCCTCCGTCACTCGCCGGTGGCTATCATTCGCCGCCCGCCTGCATTTCCGGCAAACTTCAACCTGTATTTCCCTCCAACTTCAACATTTCCTATCAAACTTTGTATTTAAAATGCCACAACAGTTGTTACTTGTTTAGTGCCTTGTTACTGGTTCGATGCTTTCCTCTCCAATTTCTTTAGAATTTAAAATGCCACAGCTTCTCATCTAAAAGATACAAATCAACATAAAAGATCACATCAATGCAGTCTGAATACTTCATTTGTGATTAAGACAACATAGCTGAAGAAGTGCATCAACTTAATGGCAGAAGAACGACTTATAGATGACCAGATATGGAATGGACGGTGAGAAAAGGTGGTGGAGGCGAGCAACTGAAGCAAATCAGCGAGAGATGGAATGTAAGAGCACCGTGTGCATGGGGAAATATTTGAGTACATATTATGCATGCAGAGTTGTGTGCGTAATAACCTCGCAATAACTTTGGCGTCGTGGTTGTTAGAGGGTTATTGGAAAATTATTGAGATATTAATTCCAATAATCTATAAACCTTCGCGGGTTTTATTTAGATGTTATTCATAGGTTGTTAAGAGAGTATAACACACATAGAGTTGTGTGCATAAATATCTCCCGTGTGCATGAGATGACTCTTTATGAAGGGGCGTGGGTTGTGGTTGGCTACAACGTAAATATTAAAGTTTGGGAGGCATGCACGCTTTTTATATTAGGAGTTTTAGGTGTAAGGTATGTAAAAAAAACCACCCCCCGAAAAACAAGCACCCTTATATTAGAAGTTTTGAGAAATTTACATACATGCCATACAATTCGTATGTATTTAAATATTTAACATGTAACTTTGATATTTATGCTTTAGATAACTCGGGTCAATTTTTCAAAGTGATAGTGATATTGATGGGTATGTTATTAGTAGAATTCAGGTTGGTTGGTTGAAGTGGATGAATGCTTCGGCGTATTGTATGATGGAAAAGTACTGCTAAGAGTGAAAGGAAAATTTTATAAGATGGCGGTGAGTCCTACAATTCTTTATGGCGTTGAATGTTGGCATTTAAAAGAGCAACATAAAACTAAGTTGAGTGTTGCTGAGAAGAGAATGATTTGGTGGATGTGTGGCTTTACACTTAGTGACAAAATGCGAAATGAATATATTTGTGATAGGATTGTTGTTGCTCACAAAATTAGAAAGAGTCGTCTTAGATGGTTTGGCCAGATTAAACGTCGACCCTCTGATGATCCAGTTAGAAGAGTAGATGTTTTAGATTAGACTGATGTTAAGCAAGTCAGAGATAGACCTAGGAAGACTGGACATATTGTATACAAAAATGATCTTAATTTATTAGAATTAAATGAAAATACAATACTAAATAGAAATCAATGGAGAAAAAGGATTCATGTAGTCGACCCCACTTAGTGGGATAAAAGTTTTGTTTTTGTTATTTGTAAAACTCCGTATTTATATTTATAACATTTTAGTGTCTTAACTTATGCATGACAATGACAATAATAATGTACATATCTTTTTTTAAAACTTAATAATTGTGATATTTATGGGTTATTAAAGATTTCAGTCGCAGCGTATGTAAATAAGAAACATTAGGTGTTAGATATACGAAAACATAAGAATTATTAGGCACATATGCAAATGCCCCTTATGCTTACAGAAATTTATATATATATAAGAAATGGTCGGAGGCTATTATAAGAGGCCCGACCAACCCTCATGCACATAAGAATTCAATTATCACACCCTACACTCGGGAGAAATCGAACCACATACCAGAAGAGACTTATAACTGACAAGCAGATGTCCAACCAACTGATCTGATTATGCGGCGCAAGTTATATATATTTATACATACATAATAGTTATTAACTATTTTTATAAAATATAAAATCTTGTTTTATGCTAAATATGATAAATTTAAAGAAATTTTTTTTAAAAAAAAGGAGTTAACAGAATACTAGGCTAAATTTACAGCCTAAAACAACAGGGTTCAAGTCATCATTTTCAATAATCATGGTATTTGCATTTTATGCAGTCGTTGAAATCTTAATTTACTTCTGATAACTCAGATTAACTTCTTAATCTGAACACTCTTAAGAAATTGCAAGGCATTAATCAAATAAATCCAATATCTCCTTCAAAAGAAGACAGGAGATTGTATTAACAGGTATGGACTCACAATTTTTAAATGGGTAATTTTGTAATGAAATTGTCGAGCAATAAATTACAAACTATGTAACTCAAATTTAGATTTTAAAAAAAAAATGATGAGTTTGGAACCCTCTCGCTATTACGACTTGCTTAAAAGTTCGATTGGTCTGTCTTATTGCAGAGAAAAGCTAGAAGGAAACATCCCCACAGCCTCTAAAAAACATAAAATTATAGGGAAATTTTCAACCATACCACAAAAATTCTTATGTATTTACATTTACAACATTTTGGCAGTATTATAAATAGGGGTGTAAACGCTCGTGTTCGGCTCGTTTATATTTCGAGCTCGAAAAGTGTGTTCACGAACAAACGAGCCTAATCATGTAGTCATAAAACAACCCTAATCAAACGAGTCTAATCGTGTTAAGCAAACGAGCTGTTCACGAACGAAAAGTCCTTTTAACAACCCTAATCATGTAGTCATAAAACAATAAGAGTTTGAGCAAGATTTAAAAATTATTATTTATATTAAAACATCATTTGAATTTAATTTAATAATTTTTATTCTATTTTCTTAATCAATATTTTAATTGATTATAAATCTTTGTAGCCTTCTAGTCAATTAGATTTGTTTAAAATACTACTTAATATATATATACTTGATGAGTAGTATTTCGAGCCAAAACGAGCCGAACACGAATAAACACATCTTAGTTTGTGTTCGGCTCATTAACTTATCGAACAAAATTAACGAGCCGAACACGAGCTTCTTAACGAGACGAAAACGAGGTGTTGTTCGCAAATAATGAGCCGTTTTGACAACCCTAATTATAAATATGTATATGAAAAAATCATATTTTCAGTTTTAAAATAGCAGCAATACTACTTTTTTGATATGATATTAAAGATGTGTGTGATAGGCTTGTAAATATGAAAGCTAGGTGTCAAAACATCTAAATCTATAAGAATTGCATGGTCCATGTGTAAATGACGCGCCTTTCACCAATTTGGAAACAAACCTAACATAGAAGGCTGGATACCAACACATTATAAAATCAAGTCATTTTGGTCAAATTATTTTGAGCTAGATTTATAAAAAAAATAAAAAATATTTATTTATTTATTTATTTTACTTCATCTACCTTACATAAAAATTGAGTATATTTTAAAAAACAATATTATTTAAAAATTATTATTTTAAATGAAATTGTACTTCAAGTCTCTTCCACCTCTCTTCTCAGAACAAAGAATCCAAACATTTCTACTAAAGCATGAAAATAAAAATAAAAAATAAAAAAATAAAAAATAGGCATTTAAAATCATCTTTTTAAGCGTAAAATATGCCATTATTCGGTCCAAATATTTCATCAACTTAGTTTGCACCTTTTATCATTACAGTTGACTGTAAGGTATAGGCTACTGCAAAAAAAAAAGGGGGGGGGGGGGGGGGGGAGCGAAAGAGAAACAAGAGGGCTTAAAATGAAATATCTGTAAAACATCATTTATAGGTGCCAAGTAAAACTTAACAGGTTCAGGTTCAGGTTCAGTTTCAGCTCAACATTGCGTCATGACCAATTCCTTGATTGTACAATGGAAGCTCAAAAAGGAATGCTACCTTGAACCAGGCCGGTATACTTTCATATAGTGCAGGTGGCAGAGGAATTAGGGGGCTAAAAGGCAAAACACACATAAACAAAAAAAAAATGTTGGTCAGAAATTCTAGCTTGCAAATCTACAGCATTTTGTGATTTAAAAGCTTTTAATTAAAGGAAGATTTTACATCAATACCACTCAATTCTTATGTATTTATATATCTAACACTTAAAATTCAATTTTTACATATATCCCACTTTATGTATGCATGAAATTGAGTATTTCAGTTTTTAAAGGATAAAATAGTGATAATTTTGATGTGATATGAAAATTTTGGGAGGTATAAATGTAATTAATCCAGAGTTTAGAAGGTAGAAATGTAAAACACATACCTGGTGGTTGATCTGTAGATACGGTACTCCTCTACAGAGCCAAAGCGCTTATTTGCTGAAGCCTACATGAATTTATGTAAAATACAACGCCAAAATTAGAATCAGCAGCAGAGAAAAACAAAGAATACAATATGATAAAGATGGGAAAGAAGTCTCAAACCTCCAGAAGTGGAATACCACTAACAAATAGAAGCAGAACTGTCAGAAAGATTGGACCGAATACAACGAGCCATTCGGCGTCTTTTAGAACTGGGGTTGAAGCGACAAATATTCCCCACCAAAGCAGAATCTATATGCATGGCATAAAGATTTAACAAATTTTGATCATAGAAGCTATCAGTGGCTAGAAATAAATTAAAGGGAAATTCAAACTTACATACTGCACAAGTCTTATATATTTACATATATCTAGAATGAGTGCCATGAGAAATAAGGGTAATAAGGGTGACATGTTGAGCAATGGGAGAACAACCAAAATTTTTTGAGTAGTTATGATCATGACCACAATTACCCAACTACACTTTTATGCTAACCATAAAGCTAGTCTATTCATGATCAAAAGAAGGCAAAACAAGAAACTCAATGACTGAGAAAATCCATGAAGAACCCTAGAGATGTTGACCATAATATAGTTGGTCATTAATTTAGCTCAGATAGATCGGAAAGTAAATGACGATCAGAGAGAAATTTGACAGCAAGAAATTTCTAATTTTATTTTTGATTAAGCGGTACGATCAATGATAAAGAGATGAAATGAAAAAAGTTCATCCCTATTGTTATTCTTGAAAATATTTATCACTCTATTGTAAGGAAATGATGTTAATAGTTAAGGGTTTAAGATTGAGAGATGTTATTGCCTTGAGAAATAGTTGATAGGAGGGAGCAAACGATTAACAACTAAACCAGAATCAAGTCTATAATAACAGGCAAAAATAAAAAGAAATAAGTTGACATATTTACATTAACATAGGTGATTTAGAATAGAAAACAAATGACAAGAAAAACATCCTTCCATAAGAGAATAAGTTATACAATAATAATAGAATATTTAATAATTACTAATTCCAAAAACTTAACAATAACACGTACAACAATAAATTTTGTGAGTTTCACCTATCACAGCACTATGCTGCTGATGGCACTACAACTTGTCTAAATGATATCTTTGCGATGTACATAATTGGAACTTTTTTTGGAAGATTTATATTTTGAATAATAGTACCAAAATAAATCTAAAAAAGGGGGCCACAAGTTAGTTATGCATATGAAAATTGATATGGCCAAATTCAAATTGAGTACTAATGCTACAAAACGATGCCATGGATGATCTTCATGTATCTTTATATCTAGTTAGTTATGCATATATCCTTATAAAAAAACTAAAGTCTGAATTTATAAAAAAAAAAAAAAAAACTTACATTCAATAAAACCTTAAATCTGGTTCAAAAATCTTCTAGTTTAGTAAAAAGTTCTTATGTTGACCAGGAAGTCTTAAACCTGATAAAATCATGCGCCCAAGTCAAGTATCCTATATCTAGTAAACCCTTATATCAAGATCAAAGAATATACATTAAATTATCTTATAATTGAATAAGACACCTTAGATATGGGCAAAAATCTTATATATGATAAACACAGTTGGTTAAGATCCTTCCCCACCTTTTTCTATAAAATTGTTAATGACAATGGTCCCATTTAAGGCTGAATCTACATGGTGAGTGTAGCAGCCTCTTCAAACTGGAACTAAGACTACCTACTAAATGTGATGTTTATGCGCCAAACAATTCCTAGAGGTAAAAGGGTAAATAATTTATGATTAATGACACACTCCAAACAAATCAACACAAAAAATTGGGGTCCATCTTTTAGTTGGCCAACCAAAATGGGGAGAGTTAAATGAACATTGCATGCGGAGGTTTTCATCGGCCCACTTAATCAGATAAATTTCAGCTTGGGAGATGTGACGTGACATTTGTCTTTGAGTAGATTTTATCGGGAGTATAACATTTCTCATAATTTATAAGAAATGATCAGACATTGCTAAAAAAAATCAGGGTAATAAATAAGGTGTTTGTACTGGAAAGTGCTAATCATCAATAAGAAGGGGTTTTATTTCAATATGTGTATTTCCTTTTTATGCTTTTTCTTAGGAGGATTCCTATTTTATTTCCTTTCAGTATATATATATATATATATGGGGGTGGGGGTGGGGCTGTTAAAAGGGCAAAGTATAATGTATAGATTAGGACGAGAAATAAAATTTATTCAGATTTCTACATGGTATTAGAGAAACATGGCTGTTCATCGTCTCAGCTTGCCTAAGAAAATCAACAGCCATATGTTATGTTTGACCAGAACACCTCAGGTCGAACATCCTCGGCCCCTCTCCTTTGCTCGGGTCAATTTGCTACATGAAGCAAAGAACACTTCTATCGTCCGTCCAAACAGATGAATAACACTTGTTAAACAGCTCTTCCCTTGCTCTCTAGATTGTTGCCTTGACATCCATCTCGTTTTACCAGATAACTGTGTTCGAACAATTCGAGGGTAGATTGCAAACACGCACCTTTCAATTTGCACATGCGTGCAAATTTCCACAAGCTCTATACGATCACTAATTTCTGTACGCACTTGTCAATTTCCCCACAAGCACAGATTTCCACACGCTCCGTTCTTCTTCTTCCATTTACTAAAGCCAAGAATGAATTTGGTACTTGCGATCAACTTGAATTGCCCTAATCATCACCTCAAGAGAGCCCTAGCAGCCATCTCAAGAGTCGTTGGCTTGAAAAACATGATTGACATCAGAGCTATCATCTCAAAAGTTGAACTTGATTCACAACATCAAGTGTCCTCTTACGAGTCGCCACTTACAAACGACCCGACCATCTCTTGTTTTGTAAAACTCATGGAAACCTAGAGCAGCCCATCACCATCTAGTTGTAGTCCAGTCGAGCAGTCAAACTAAGGGTCCTCCTCTAGTCTCCGTCTGCCTTCTCGAGTCGGGCTTCGCAATCTTATCATGGCCAAACACGATGTGGCTTCATCATGGTCTTTCTTGAATGTCACATCCAGATCTGAGCCTACATCTTCAGTCCATATCATGTCTTCCAACAATAATTCAGAATTCAACAAAATCACCAAGGAACAAATTGAGGAACTGTAGAAAATGTTTAGTAATAGTTCTAATTTTGGATAAGCACTACAATCATCTGTCGAGCAATCTATCAGACTGTTAGTATAACTGGATATATCAATATCTTCAAAAATTACAACCCATCTACCAGTCATTCTTCAGTTTGAATAGTTGATTATTCAATCTCACCAATAGCAAGAACTGGATCAATCAAATTGACAGTATTTTCACCTCTACTCTGCGCTTTTATGTTTCAAAATTAAATTATAACCTACTCTCAATCAACAAATATCTTCCTCGTGACCTAAAATGTGTGACTGAATTTTATTCAAATTGTTGCGATTTTAAAGTTGTGGATTCGGGTAAGGAGATTGGTAGTCCTGAAATGCATTGTGGTTTATAATTGCTCAAAGAAAATAACTTCATCGATAGGCAACATCATCTGTCAATTTATATTTCTGAGTCCAATTTAAATCTTGATTTAGTTGAAAATCAAGTCATGTTGAGTTGTTGCAGACTTGGTCATCCAATAATTGCATACATGGAAAAGATGTTTCCACATTTATTTATGACTAAAAAATTCAATCTTTATTAATGTGAAACTTGTTAACTTGCAAAGCATACCATATATGTATATTCCAAAATACAATATAAGCCTTCACGTCATTTGTTTGTAATTCATAGTAATATATGGGGACCCTCACAAGTAAATAATATAAATGAGACACGATGATTTGTATCATTCATAGATAATTACACAAGAACAACATGGATATTCCTTATGAAAGAAAAATCTTAAACAACCATTATATTTCAATCATGTCACTCAATGATTCTCACTCAATTCCAAAGCCAACTCAATCCAAGAGGCTCTATAAGTTCTAGCTTTGAAACAAGCAGTTGAGGAAGACAATCGGGCCCTACAAAAGAATAACATATAAAGACTAACATAATTACAACATACAAAAAATCCTATAGGCTGAAAAATGGATAGTTTGAGTCGAGTACAAAGGATATGGGAAGTGTAGAGAGATTCAAAGCCAAACCGGTTGCTAAGGACTTCACGTAGTAATACAAAACTGACAATAAAAAAATATTTGCACCTGTTATCAAACATAATATGGTTTGGGTTTTACTCTCTCTTGCAGTAAATCATGATTGACATTTATACCAACTTGATGTCAAAAATGCATTCTTGAATGAAGATCTTGATGAAGTCTACATGACTATACCTCTGGGCTTGAAAAATAGGCCGAACATGTTGGTTTACAAGTTGAATAAGTCATTTTACGATTTGAAGCAATTTCCTTGTACTTGGTATGACATGTTTGCTAAAACAGTGATTACAAAAGGATATCATCAGTGTCAAGCTGATCATACATTATTTGTTAAATCTAATTCAAAAGGCAAAATTAGTATTTTCATAGTATATGTGAGGATATTATCTTAATAGGTGATGATTTAGAGGAAACTATCACATTAAAAAGAATACTTACAATAAAATTTGAGATCAAAGACCTAAAAAATCTCTAATATTTTCTAGGAATGAAGGTGGCTCGGTTTAAGGAGGCAATTGTCATTTCCCAAAAAAAAATACATCTTAAATATATTAGGTGAAAGTGGCATGTCTGGTTATAAACTTGTCGACACACCTATGAATTCCAACAAAAAGCTGAACAGAAGTGAAGAAAGCAATCCAATTGACAAAGAAATATATCAAAGACTTGTGGGCAAAATAACTTTACCTATCACACATAAGACCCAATATTACATACTCAGTCAATGCAATAAGCCGACATATGAATAACCTAAATGAGGATCATTTGGAAGTTGCGAACAAAATTTTGAGATACTTGAAGATAACTCCTGGATACGGTTTGTTCTTCAAAAGATTTGAAAATCGTGAGATTGAAAAATACATAGATGCTAGTTGGGCAGGAGAGGTAATTGATAGAAAATTAATCGTTGCATATTGTTCACATGTCTGGGGCAATCATGTCACATGGAGAAGCAAAAAAACATATTTTTGTCTCTCGTAGTGCAGAAATTGAATGTCGTGCTCTTGCACTAAAAATATACAAGAAAATGTGGATTCAAAGGCTATCAAGCGAACTTAAGGTTGAGATGAAAGACACAGTTAAGATGTTAGCCAAGCGCCTATTAGTATAGCCAAAAATCCTATGTATCATACGGAACAAAACACATAAAGATACGCTACATCTCAGAAAAGGACAACAATGGAATTGTTTAGCCTGGATATGTTCCTACATGACTTCAAACTACTGATTTTCTTACCAAAGTATTACCAAGGGTGAATAATGTTGAATTGAAGTAAAAGCCTGGGTTATGTACAATCCAACTTGAGAGGGAGTATTGAAAAGTGCCAAAAAACATTAGGAAGGAATTTATTTCCTCATAATATATTTCACTAATTGCATTTTTTTTTATTAGACATTTTCTTTTTTTTTGCTTTTTCTTATTTTGGAGAATTCCTATTTTGTTTCCTTTTAGCATTGCATATATGTCACAAAGTATGATGTATAGATTAGAACGAGAAATAAAATTTATTTCATTATTTATTTCAGCTTTCTACAGTTTTCAATCAATGAGATGTTTTTCATTAACAGCCAACATTGACAGGTTCAGCTCTGAATGAACTGGCAGCCAGTTCTGATTCAGCATCCCTTGGCCAATTAAAAACTACTATAGAATATTATATACCAGTAAAAATGTAGCTATTTTAAGTCAATTAAAATGTTAAAAAAAAAATATTGCCCCGTCCCCTGACTGTTTACATGATGTAATTTCAGTCCAGAGTCTAAAAAAGTGCCAAATTAATACCCAAACTTTTTGAGCTGGGAACTATTTCAGCCCCCACAATAAAAGAGTATCTGGCTAAATTGACATTTTTATGCTCTCTGGTACTAAAAATGATCCCTTGCAAAAAGTTAGGAGACTTTTTTGACATATTTTTTTTTAAAGTTAAATAATGAAAGAAGAAAAACAAGGGATCTAGCAAAAACTGACTTCGCCAAAGTAATTTGGATGCCGGGAATATTTCCAGACACCCATGTTGCACCATTTTCCTCTGTTTGCAGGAGAATTCTTGAACACAAGCTTCTGCTGATCAGCAGTAGCCTCCACAGTTAACCCCACAAACCACATTACCCATCCAATTACATCTTGAGCTTTTATCGACGGATTTCTATCACTAGCATTCACAATTGTAAGAGGCAAGCTTACAGTCCAAACCCATAGGGCCTGTAATAGAGTAGAAAGCATTTGATGAACAAGTACGACGACTTATAAATATATATAAGTTGAGGTTAAAAATGGAAAATGAAGAGCTGAGAACTAATAAATTAAACCTGTAAGATCCAGAAAACTGATAACTTTGCCAGATTATCACGCATATTATCAAAACGGCGGTCTTCTCCCCATTGCAAGATTCTATTTCAGCATAAAAACAAAGCCATTTCTATGTTTCACATAAAGCTGAATCAAGAGAAAATAGACAGCATGAAATGTCAATGCCATTGCCTACACCTAATGGCATTAAGAATAGCATTGAGTGTGAGCCAAAACTGGGTGGCAACAACAACGCTCCATGTTCATTATTACCTCATTAACAGAAATAAACCCAATCGAAGACCCCATACTACCACAAGAGTTGTCAAGACAATCTGAACAAACAAAAAGAATCACATTTATGTTAATAAAAAAGAGCAATGAGAAAGGATTTCATAATGTTACACAAGACATGTTTCATTTAATGTATTGAACATTTCTAGGAAAAAACGATGGAAAAAAAATCAAATCATTCTCAAAGTAACACGAGTAAGCACAATTACATTGAGATTTAAGAAGCACAAATGAAGGTTGTTAGGGCAAGACCTGATTATGGTATGCATTCATCCCAAAAATTAACCTATTAAACATTGTTTATGGAATTCAGATGCTCGTGGCAGCAGTTTTCAAGTGCTTTTAGACTCTTTGTAGAGTGTCCCTTTATAAATTAGAGGTAGTTGTTCCAGGCGGGGGAGAAATTTGGATTACTTGAGCTGGAATCCAGAAGGACATCTTTACGCCGATGCCTAAGAACAACTGTCTTTTGTGCGCCTAAGGACAATTTAGTCTTCTATTATTTATTATTGTTTGGTAAAAATAGAGTTAATATATTTAGGGATAGGGTTATGCAAGAGAGTGTGGTTGAGTCTTAGCGTTAGGGATTAGAAGAGATTTCCTACCTCTCAAATTGTAGGATTTGGTAGAGATCCCCTACCTCTTGAATTGTAGGTGTTTATCCTTTATGTGTGGTGTTGTTTGTGTTATTAAAGAAAAAAAAATATTTTTCCATAATTTATGTATAGAAATCTATGTCAGATTGTATCGAATTGGTATCCAAGCATTCGACCGCTACCAAGCATATGATCATGTTGAAATTGTCCAATCGCCGCTTCGAACCTTGTTATACTCGCGATTCATGCTAGCTGGGAAGCAAATACGGAATCGCGATGTACAAGATTGAAATTTTAGAACCAAACTCACGGTACAGTGCGATCAGAGCAAGTTGCGAGAAGCCACCGATGGGATCAACATCCATCGAGTTCTAACCTCACGATACAGTCGAGATTCGTGGGGAAGCGATGACGGGTTCAGATCACCCAGAGGAAGCCAACGAAGGGGCTGCAGCACCTCCTTTGCGATACAGCGCAACACAATTGCTAGCTGAAAGCCGACGAGATACTGGAGCGACTCACAACTTCATCTCAAATCGGGTCGTGGACCAGTTGGAATTGATGTTGATAGATACATTAAGTTTTAAAGTTATGATAGGATAGAGAAGGTGGAGAAAATCAAGGGAAATAATTGTCGGCAGCTGAAAAGTTTAGGGAGGTTGCCCGTAAGAAGCTGTCGGTCGCTGGAAGTGAAGTCCCGTCGCCCGCTTCGGAAGGACGTTTAATTTACATATATATATA